TTAATTATTATTAAATATATACACCAAATGATTCATGAATACAAATGCTGTTTTATTAAACTGTAAAAAAAAAAAAAATTAATTGTGTGAATACTCTTTTTTTCTAAAGAGATAAAGAAGAAATTTGACTGACTAAAGAAATTTACACGTAACTCAAAAAAAAGCTGGACTTTCACTTTTGGGAAGACGATAAATACTGGTGTCCAGCATTTCAATTTTGAATAATCCATCACTCCTTTGTTTGCTGAATTGTGTGCATCTTTAAGAAAATGGGAAGGTTAATATGGTTTTCCCAATCCTCTGCCTTTCCTTTATGTTGTTACAGTTTCGAGTCCAAAACTCCTCACCTTCTCAATCTTCTCTTGATTCACCGCCACATTTGTGCCGTCCTGAAGAGCGTTCTGCATTGCTTGGTTTCAAAAGCACTACTACTTTAATTGAATACTGTCGTTTTACTCCTCGTCCAATAATACAAACTTGGAACGAGAGTAAAGACTGCTGCTTGTGGGAGGGCATCACATGCGATAGGCGGAAAGGTCACGTGATTGGCCTTGATCTTAGCAGTAATTGTCTTGCAGCCGATCTAACTACAAATGGTAGTCTCTTCCGCCTTGAGAAATTGCAGAGTCTTGACCTTTCTGGCAATTATTTTCACTATCCTAACATCTCATTCGGGTTCAACCGGTGGAAGAGTTTGACATATCTTAATCTTTCAAGTACGAGATTTCATTTCTTTTTCTTTTGTTTAAAATCTCCATGCTTTCAAAACTGGTTTCACTTCTTCTAATGTGACAAATCTTTAACTTTGCAGATCCAGTATACATGGATGGCCCTCCCCCGTTTGATGAGATCATCTTGCTGACGAAATTAGTTTCACTTGATCTCTCTTATAATTATGATTTGTTTCTTGACAACATAAAGTTTCAAATGCTTGTGCATAACTTAACAGAATTAAGGTTTCTTATCCTTGATTCTGTGAATATGTCTCTGGTTGGGCCTTCTTCCTTGCTAAACTTGACTTCCTCCTTGGAATATTTGAGCCTTAGCAACCGTAATTTGCAAGGAAACTTCCTAAACCAAGTATTTCAGCGAACGAAATTGGTCTCACTCAATCTCTTTGATAATTTTGATTTGCTTCTTGACAACACAAAGTTTCAATTACTTGTGCATAACTTGACAGAATTAAGATTTCTTAATCTTAGTTCGGTGAATATGTCTCTGGTTGTGCCTTCTTCCTTGCTAAACTTGACTTCCTCCTTGGAGCAATTGAGCCTTCGAGATTGTAGTTTGCAAGGAAACTTTCCAAGTCAAGTTTTTCAGCTTCCATCTCTCCAGCTTATTGATTTAAGTTACAATTATTATTTAAGAGGTAATCTGCCCCTGTCAAACTGGAGTAGCCCCCTCAAGTATTTGTATATCAGAGAGACAAGCTTCTTAGGAGAGTTGCCTCATTCAATCGAAAATCTTAAACTCTTGGAGGAATTGGATCTTGATAGCTGCCAATTTTATGGATCAATTCCTAAATCTCTTGCAAATCTTACCAAGATAACTTACTTGGATTTTGATTCCAATCTTTTGCAAGGGCAAATTCCAGATGTTTTTGGAAAAATGCACAAGTTAACTTGCTTGAGCATTTTTAATAACAGTTTTGGTGGTGAAATTCCTACATCAATCTTCAACCTCACCCATCTTACCTATTTGTCATTGTCATCAAATAACCTAACAGGGCTTCTTCCTCACAATATAAGTGGGCTTTCATTTTTAGGTGAGTTTCGAATGGATAATAATTTCATCACAGGTCGTGTACCATCTTGGTTGTTTTCTCTGCCCTCTTTATACTATTTAGACCTCCAAAACAATAGACTAACCGGAACTATTGATCATACTGATATGCCTAATCTCATTTTACAAAAAGTCTATTTGTCCAATAATGAGATAAGTGGTTCACTTCCTAGCTTTTTCTTTCATCTTGTGTCTCTTACTCATGTCGACCTTTCTTCAAATAATTTAAGTGGCACCATTACAACCAACATGCTTTCAAAACTTGTCAACCTCTGGCTTCTGGATCTTTCCAATAATAGTCTTCTGTCTTTGAGCAATAATAGCACTGGTGTCAATTATTCCTTTCCGTACCTTCGGTATTTCATATTCTCTTCTTGCAACATAGACAAGTTCCCAAGTTTCTTAGGGAAGGTTGAGAGTTTGCAGGGCTTGGATCTTTCCAATAACAAGATTTCTGGTCAAATTCACAAATGGGAAATAGAAGGGATGATGTCATTGTACACTTTAAACCTTTCTTATAACTTCTTGAGTGGGATAGATTCATTTGGTTTTGGACTTCTTCGAACCGTTGACCTCAGATTCAACTTACTACAAGGATCACTTCCCATTCTATCAACAAATTGGAATTCTATGGAACAACTCCTCATTTCAGGGAATAATTTGACTGGCGAAATCCCTTCTTCTTGTTGCAGTTTTTCTTCTCTTGCAGTTCTAGACTTAGCTAATAATAGTTTGGAAGGAAAAATTCCAGAATGTCTTCGAAACTTGAGTGATCTTTTCAACTTGGATCTGCAAATGAATAAGTTTCATGGTAGAATACCAAATTCTTTTGTCAACATGAGTGAATTGAGAACCCTTCATTTAAATGACAACCAGTTGGAAGGGCTACTGCCACAGTCTTTGGTTAATTGCAGTAACTTGGAAATTCTAGATGTGGGGAACAACAACTTGAATCATATCTTCCCACATTGGTTAGGTGTTCTTCCACGGCTAGAAGTTCTCATCCTTCGATCTAATCAATTTCATGGTGCCATCAGCAATTCTATGCCTGCATTTTACTTCCATCAGTTGAGAATCATTGATATCGCGCAAAATGATTTTATAGGTCTCCTACCGAGTAACTTTTTCAAAATTTTGAAAGGTATGAGAGATGTAGCTCCAGTCAAATTGGAATACCTTGACTGGAAGCAAGTATGGCCTATGCAATGTGACGACGAGGAAAGTTGCTCAATTCATTATTCTCCTTTTTATAAGGATTCTGTGAACGTAACAATGAAAGGCTCAGAGAGGGAGCTTGTAAGGATCTTGAAAATTTTCACAACTATAGATTTCTCGAGCAATCAGTTTCATGGACCGATTCCTGAAGAGCTAGGAGAACTGAATTCACTTTTATTGCTAAACTTATCTCACAATAGTCTCAATAGTCAAATCCCATCATCATTGGGGAAATTAGCAGCACTCGAGTCCTTAGATCTCTCATCAAACAAGCTTGAAGGTGGGATTCCTGAGCAATTGACAAATCTGACATTCCTATCAGTTTTGAATCTTTCACACAATAAACTTGTGGGCCACATACCTGAAGGGAAGCAGTTCAGTACTTTCTCAAATGATTCCTACATTGGAAACTCTGGGTTGTGTGGATTCCCATTGACAAAGAACTGCCACGGGGAGGAAGAACCAGGAGCACCTCCAAAATTTGATGAAGAGGATGAATCTGCAACACTCTTTGAGTGGAAGTTAGCATTGGCAGGGTATGGTTGTGGACTGGTGTTGGGACTTAGTCTGGGATACATTGCCTTCACTACAGGAAAACCATGGTTTGTGGTGAAGAAAGTGGAGAAATATCAACAGAAATTAATTGGAAGGTACAACCAAAGGCATAAGAAGAGAAAAACCCAAAAACCCAACCAACGCTCTTAGGTGAGTAAGTTTCTACAACGGTCTCTATAATATTTGTGTTTTATCTAAGTTCCAACTATAAAAATCAATGTATATAATACAATAGTTAAACTTAATTTTTCTACTTTTGCTTTATTTTCAGGTGCAGTTGATTTCTTACTCGGGGAGATATAGCAACAGTTGCTTCTTGAGTTTGTTTCCATCTTTTTCATGTTCATTGTTGATATATAGTTGTGTTGACTTGCGTGGGAATTATGGTTATGTATGAATTTGTGTTAATTTCTTTTTGATTTCATTTATGTACTCTGGATTTCATTTATGTACTCTGCACGCAGTTGCTTACGTATTTTTTTAAATATAATTTGTTTCTTTTGATGTAATCTCATCGTATTTTCTTCTCTCTTCCTTTGTTTTTATTGTCTTTGAACGGTGCGTTTTACTGAAGTAAAATGTAAAAATTTCTTTAATTTTTAAACCCCTAAACATCTCCTTTCATCATATTTCTCCGATCGGTGTGGAAGTAGAGACGCATCCGACGAATCTTGGTTGACAGCTGAGCGATTTCAGGGTTATTATTGCTTAAGAAGGCTGGGTGAGGGATGATCCCAACCTCCTTTGCTCACCGGAGGCCCACACTCTAGCCATCGCCAAACACAAGTCATATTCTTTGGCTGGCGATCTGGTTCATAGGCAGGTAATTTTCCTTGGTGTTTTCCTTCTGTCTGGAGATATTAATTTCTGTCTTTAGAGGCAAAGCTGTAATTTTCTCCGCGTGGAATAAATTAATGTGTTTCGTCTTTACTACTTAAAAATTTTAGATATTTCCACGCTGCATATGCCAAGGTTGAGATAAGATGTTTCCATCTCTTAAAAACAACATATGTAGGTTAGCATTAACATATGTAAATCCTAGGTCTCATTTGTAAACTTTTATTTAAATTCTGCGGTTTATGCATTGTATTCATGGTTAGTTAGTCTAGGTCATGCCAAATAGAGTAGAGATCATTCAATTTGATCTTATTTTGCCGAGATAAATTAGAGTTATATTTGTTGTTCTTTTTGTGAACTCGTCAATGGATATTTTTCTTGCAAATGGTATATCCTGCAAGGATCCTAAAATTGAGAATCTATGGAGCTAAGAGAGAGATGACCCAAGATTACATCCTCAGGAAAGGTTTCTGTTGTCATGGCTGAAGTATTTGCTTGTTTTGACAGCTCTGATATTCGGGTACTTATCTTGCAGTGAAAGGCTCGGAGTTCTTGCTGAAACTTGAAAAAAGTCTTTACCTGTTAGTCATTGATATTGGGTAGTCTTGTGAATTATTTCTTGTGTTTGGTGAGAAGCTAAAATAAAGAAAGTTGTGTTTGATGCATATTTTTCTTTTTGTGTTGCATTCCTCAAGGGAAGACAATTCATTTATCAAGAATGTAAGTTGTTCCATTAAGAAAACTGTGTAACAACCAGAATTTATTGTAAGTTTTATTTATCTAACTGTCTATTTTAATAAGGTCAAGCACTTGAATTTGTTTAGCAACCTCAATTTACTTTAAGTTCTATTTGACACATTTCTCATTTTTCTGTTAGCTGCATTGTATTACATCCCAGACCTAGTTCCCTACTTTTTCTTTCTCATTTTGCTCTGTGCACTCACCAAAATTGTGTATTATTCTAGGCCTAGATTAACAAATAGAGATTCCTTATTGTTACGAGATTCAGTTAATTAAAGTCTAATGGAAATTGCGAAAGTAGTTAATGCTGGTCTTTTGTGTTTCTGTTATATTAAGGCGTACAAGTTGATTGTGATACTGTGTGTTGCTGTCTAATCATCGTGGATGCTATTGCTTTTTAAATTTTAATTTGCCATTTAGCCTTTATGGGATTAGCACTCTTGTTTTAGTTGTCTTAATTCTTATTTGTTCTTTTTAAAAGCCTCTTGAATGTTTTATTGATTTCATCACAGTTTCTCCTTTGACGTTTTTGGTGGATCACTGCAGAAATGGGGAAAACTCACCTTGTCACAGATTGGTACTTTGTCTACCATAACCAGTTCACTTGGTTGTATATTGCTGCTCTTAGACACTTGGGCACTAATTGATGCTACTGCAGAACGTTTGTTCAGTCCTAATCATTTTGAATATTTTTAAACTATGGAGCTATTTTAACTGAATAATGGATTTCACTTGCTCTTTCAAGGATATAATTAATTGACGCAAGCTGCTTGTTCTCAGAGATGTTAATCAACAGAGGTTGTCAGGGTGAAGTTCCTCTTACTTTGAACCAACAAAGAATGACTATCACCTCGGAAACAAATTCTTTAGGTATCTATGCATGATCTTTAAGATATGTTTAGACTGGAGAAAGAAGTCTATAGATTGAAATCAATTTTCTTTAAATATAATATAAAAATCTGTCACCCACTAGATTTATTGATTAGGACTTTTTTATATGGAAATGGGGCCCACTAGTTTGCCCACTGGGTTTTTTTGTTATATTACTATTGCTACTTTAGTGCTTTTAATTAATATTTTGTGTTGTTGCAGAAATCACTGACATAATCCTCCTCCATTAGTGGAATTCGAGGTGATTCCTTATATAATTAGAGCCGACTGCTTGCTGATGGATTCTATATAAGTGCTTCAAATGGTCTAAAGTTTTGAGTAATTATTGGCTACATGATTTCAAAAAAAAAAAAAAAAAAAAACATAATTTAAGAACACAAAAGAGTTATTTCCCTGTTTCATTTTTAGTTTTTTAGGTAAAATGTGAATTTTATTACCTAGAATACCAAAATTCACATACAAAAGCGTTATTTCCCTGTTTCATTTTTAGTTATTCTGCTTTCTCTTTTCCAATGAATAATGGAAACTTTCTGAATTTATGCTAATATTTGAATTCAGCTGCTTTCATTGTCGGGCAGTCTGTGCAGTCACCATAGGAGATGATGCTGTGATCTTATTAGCTTTTAGGTGAGTAATTTTCTTGTGTTTGGCAATAATATAATATGCAACTTATTTCATAATAGATCACAGCAAGAATTTATGCTTTTATCAAGAGTTTTTGAAAGTTGAACCATATAATCCTTTTATCAAAAGTCAAAATTGTTTCATTAAACTTAATGTTTATTATGTTATCACTTTTCTAAGTTTTCTTCCATTCCTTTCCTTTTGACGGTGCGTTTTAATGAACGAAAACAATTTTTTTTTTTAATATGTGGGCCTGTTATTTTCTTCCTTTTACCGTACTTCTCTCCGAGCAATTATAAATTGAAATTCCAGTCAATGCCGGAAGTGGACGCATCCGAAGGATGTGGGTTGCAAAATTGCAATTGCATCGCCTGCGAGGGGCCTAGCGATGACGGATCTGGTCGGGATGGCTGACGGTCCTTTGCGCTCTGGACGCCCACTCTCTTGACATCGCCAACTAAAATCTTTTTCTCGTCCTTGGGTGGTCTGATCGACTGATCTGGATGAACGCAGGGTGAAGATCCGACCCAACCTGTCGTCTAGTTGCTGGATTTTGACGAGATTAGGGTAGCGGCTGTCGGTACATATTCTTTTAAAATTTTTTGTTTTTGTGCTTTCATTTTTGGATTTTAAATTCTTGTATTATGTTGTGATTGGGAGTTGTGCAGTCTCTGATTACATAACCAAATCAATTGGATGGGGCGGGTCGGATCCATTATCGTGTTAACATGTGATAATTTCTTTGAAAAAATTATTTGTGCATGTGAAGTTACCAAAAATATAGAAAATACTAATTACTTAGTGGGTGAATGAGTGTTGGATAAATGGATGATTTTTGCTTTATTACCTAACTGGATGGTATATTGTGTATTGTGTAAACTCAAAAATCAGATAATTGTTTTCTGCTTGCGAAGATTGAAATAAAATGTTTGTTCCTAATGAGATCAGAATATCTGAAACAAAATATGTACATATTAGTTATGGAATGTTGGTGGGTATGGATCATGTACTGATGCAGCAATCACTGGCATAAATGCCTCCTCCATTGATGTAACTCCAGGTGATTCCTTATGTAACTTGGTTTAATTAGTTCACAAATGTTGTATAGGAGTTTTTCTGATGGTCTAACGTTCTGAGTAGCTGTTGGCTATACATGCTTTCTAGAAAACAGTTTAAACATATAAAAGATTTCTTTTCCTTGTTTCATTTTGCATTTCTTCCTACTTGTTTGTGGTTCATTTCTTATAATGCTGCTTGCTCTTTGTCAACTAACGAATAATGGAAACTTTCTGAAGTTATTCTGTTATTTGAATCCAGCTTGCTTTTATTGTTGGGCAGTTAATGTTTACAGTCACTATTGGAGATGATGTAGTAATCTCAGCATTCAGCCTTCTAGGTCAGTTTGCAAAATGATGTG